AGAATAGATCTTGTTGTATACTGGGTCCGACGCATTGAATATTGTTTAATGATAACCCGTTGCTTGTTGGTGAAGATGCGTCAAACACGACACGAAGTTTTGTTGTAAGACTGTCCTCCTTTAGGACACCATGATGTGGCATGTAGTAGTCGACAGTAGAGTTTTCAGAGATATCTGCTAACGACATGTGGTTTAGCTCCTGATATTCGCGCATGAATTGTATATATTGTTCGCGAAGAGAATTGTTTTGTGCTAATCTTTTTTCTAGATGATGAAATCTTCTTTCAGCTTGTATCCTTGAATCACCCAACACATGCGGATATTGTTTTAATGGCATCATAACTATGAATCTACCATTTGGATCACGTGTAGTAGTTTTTTGAAAATTGTCCTCGCACAATTGCTCTTCTTCAGATAGATGAGGAATATTTGGCAATTCCTCTACTTCCCAAAATTGCTGAAGAAGTTTAGTTAGTTCCAGATTTGTGCTAAGATTGCAAGATATTGTATTGTGGGGAATCGATCCCAGCGGGCCAGAAATTATCCACCCAAATATTGTTTCCGTTAAAATAGGACCTTGATCTAAAGATATGCGACCTTTACAAATCAAATGCCAAAAAATATCTGCGCCGATAAGAATGTCAATAGATCCAGCATTGCCAAAATTAGGATCTGCTAACCGAATTGTATTAGGAATGTTTATAGCGCTTACATCAATGTTTGTATGAGGAAGAATATTTGTTATTTTTGGCAATACAAAACAGTTGATTATTTTTACAAATTTATTATTAGATGTGCAAATCTCTAACTGACATTGACCTGTAATAATTGATAGTTTGTTGCCTATGCCCAAAAGATTTAAGCTGACATCTTGTGGTTTGATTCCTAGTTTGTTACACATGTTTGTTGTGATAAATAAAGATTGAGACCCGCAATCCAATAGTGCACGAGCCCTTTGCATTTTACCATTCATATCTTTAACACTTAAGATTGCTGTTGAGAGAAAAACATAGCCTGTATCAGAACAAGAAAGCATGCTGTTACCACAAAATGTATTGTTACTTGTTCCTGGATTTATTGGCTCACTTGTACTTTGTGATGGATTTGTATTAATACTGCTATTGGATATATTCGAATTTCTATTGAACGTGCCCGAATTATTTTGGCTTATAATGATGCTCCTATCATTTGTATTATTGTGTAAAAGTGAGTTGTGACGTGCTTTGCACTTGCGACATGGCCCGAGTTTGCACTGTTTATTGGAGTGACCCGATCGCAAGCAGTTTGTACACAATGATTTTGATCTTATAAAATTCCACCTTTCGTTTATTGGATAATTTAAAAATGTTTCGCAAGTGTAAATGCTATGGTCGCCTTGACAAGAGACGCATGTATAGTTTGTTTTTATTGCTAAGAATCCCCTAGTCGTCCTGTTCTCCTTACTTTTATTTTTTGTTTCAATGTTCATTTCAATTGCCTCTAGAAAATCTGCTCTTGATTTTAAAAATCCTTTTAGATCGGATAAAGTTGGTAGTTCCGTTTGAGAAGCAATATGCTTTTCCCATTCCCTAATAGTAGTTTCGTCTAGTTTTGATGTTATAATGAATATAAGTAAGGCATCCCATTGTTCACACGGCTGATTTAATTGTTGAAGTGACTTTAAATGTTTTGAAAAATCATCTACTAATTTACGAAATTTTACAAAAGATTCTTTGTGAATAGATTCCAATGAAAATAAAGCTTTAATATGATTGTGTATTAAGAGTTTTTTATTATTGTATCGATCACATACAGAGTCCCATGCCAAATTGTACCCGTTTGCGGAAAATTCGATAGGTTTTATGACTGCGGCGGCATTTCCTTGTAATGATGCCCGAAGATAATGATACTTCTGAATATTTGTAATACTATCATTTGTATGAATGAGTGACTCAAAAGTGTCTCGAAATTCTAGCCAAAATTCGTATGTGCCGTCGAACTTTGGAATTTGTATTGTTGGCAGTTTTACACCTTGTAAACGATAAGCCCCGTCAGAAATAGAAGTGTTATTGTCTGTATGCTCGTTTGTCACGGACTGTTTATCATCAATATCTGAAATGAATTTATTTAACAATGCTTTGGCATTAGCCGATAGTGAATAAAAATTGTTTTCAAGTTCTTCCCTTATCACAAAGTGTGGTTCGGGATCGTCTGTCAATTCTTCTATTTCTGATTGGATAATTTTAATTTCTAAACATGTATTTTCTAGTTTATTTATTCTGTCGCTTAGTTCGATTTTTTCAACATCATGTAATTCTAATTTGCATTTAATAGACTCTAGAAATTTGGAGAAAATTGTAAATGAAGCTTTATGACCAGCACGTTTTCTAATTAATCTTTTTAAGTGTTCGTCCGACATTGTTTATTAATCAAATAGATTCGAATTGAATTTAAATAGATATATAGATTGTAAATAGTTTTATGCAACTTACACAAACAAAAACAGTATAAATAGGTATAGGAATCAGATGGGAACTCACCGGTATTTTGGCTGTATATTGTTCGGCAATCCCACGTGTTCTTTCACTTGACCGTTAACTGTGAATCACTTTTAGCACTGATTTTATCACAAATATCCGGCTCGAAGGACCAATGTTTATTGTTGTAGTGGACTGTATTTATTGAAATTAATTAATAGTCTAAAATACTGCATTTATTTATGAATTTGCACAAAAATATGAAAACAATAACAAATAGTTCTATGCTTCTCAACGGCTGGTGATGGAATGTCATTCTGTCGTCTGTCGTCTGTACCGACTAGCTGGCTGGCTGGGCTGCAGTGGCGGACCGTTCAAATACAAAATGGGTTGTCGTCGACACCATTTGTCAAAAGACTTTCACTAATGCCTTGAGATCGCAAGGGGTCGACTCCGAACTATAATAAACAATTTTAAAGGGGAAAGTAATCTTCCACGTGCGAAAAGGGAAGAAGAAAAACAAACGCATTTATATGGATATGGGTTATAAAGACAAACTGAGGAGCGTGGTCAAATTTATTAAAAGTATAAAATGCGTGGAGTCTCATTACTATAGGGACCCAACTAAGCGCAAGTATGCATCAGGTGATTTGAGTATTAATAGACTTTGACAAATTTACAATGCTTAAGCCAAAACAGAGACACAGGTAAAAAAGGATATTTTTTGTTTTAATAATTTTTAATAAAACATTTCATTTAAGGCGCTACAGGACATGTGTTTGACATGTCTTTCTCTCACTGAAAATATCTCAAAATAAAACGACACCATCGGTGAAGCAAACTCTTATGGCCGCTAAAAGAATTTATAAGCTTAGATCAAAACCCTAATTGCATTATTGAAGGAATCTAAGCCTGAGTTATTGGCTTAAAAAACCTTCCAATGGCTAAAATAGCGTAAAGGATCAAGCCGCGCACTACATCATAGAGCTATATGTACATAACTTGTCAATCGTAGTGGGACATTTTAAAGCCTCGCTAACGAAGGAAAATTGTTTTAGCTATGTATGGTGAAAGGATGAGTATGACGAGGGCTCTAATCAAGTAGCTTCGGCAATCTATCACAGGCTGTCTAATACTGATTTGAAAGATATCAGTGTCGTAAGAATAATTTGTGCCGGATGTAGAAGTCAGAATAAAAACCAAATAATTTTATTCATAGCAAGGTCCAAAAGCCAAAAGCTTACAAGCTTCAAAAAACATAAAATAAAAGTTATGTCGACACTGAAAAGCTACTGGAAAGTCACTACGGCGAGAAATGGCAAAATGATCCGAAACTGGCTTATTTCAAAAACGTCCTACATTACGAAAATGTTTCAAGCGTCCCTGAAGAAGACGACATTTATATTACGAACCACTCGATAATGATAATGACGAAGAAGTCTTACGAGTGTAGAATTTTGGTATTTATAATTATTTTAAGTCGGTCAGATAGCCAAGCGGGATGGTCGGCAGGTTCTCATTCGCTTCACTACGAGTGGTTCAGTGGATGTGCACTCGAACCCCAGCTCGGTGTATAAAAGACAAAAAGGCTAACGCAGCAGTTTAAAATTCTAAATAAATCTGCGGCTTAGACTAGAATATGCTAGTGTCTGATATCCAAAATAGCCAATATCCACTTGTTAGTTGCAAAGAAACTAGCAACGAAAAACTAATTTTAAGCGGTCAAAGTTTATGGATAGAAATTATTGCAATATACAGAGCTCTCAATCACATACAAACAGTCAAATCAGATAAATTCCTGATAATTACTGACTCAATCAATTTCCTCCATATACTGTCAAAAATGTAGACCTGCTACCCTATTGCTAAATTAATTAAAAACAAGATGCAGCAGCTGAAAAGCAAAACATTAGTCTTCGTGTGGGCACCATCACATAAAGGCATTAAAGGAAACAAACTAGCTGATAAAAATGCTCGAGAAATAGCAAATTCCGCAAATATCAGACCGATAATAAAACCATTCGCAGAAGATCTAAATCCGTATTTTAAAGAAAAGCTGATATGTAATTGGACTAAATGTTGGGAAGTAAAATCCTCAAAGTTAAGGGCGATTAAACCAAATTTTGGACGATGTAGTAACAATGTCCCTAGCCGTTTCCTTCAGGTCGTATTAACTATTAGACTCCAATTAGGACACAGCAAACTCACACATGAATATCTCATGAAGAAGGAACCTCGCCCAAAATGTACGAGTTGTGACATGCCGTTAACAGTGAAACACGTATTAACCAGTGAAAGACTGACCAATAAAATTCCATCAGTTATAAGAAATATTTTTAGTGAGTGTACCAGTGAAAATATTGTAAAATTTTTAAGAGATTGTAACAAAATGAACCACATACCTATAAATATATTATTTATTTCATATTTGTAATCATTATTGTTTACATTAAATTCATCCACTAATAACTAGTATAAACTGGCGGTAAAAAATTACGATTTACGGCAATTTTTCAAGGAAATTGGTTGTTTTGCAATAGAGGTCTCAGATATAACATAAATAAGGAATGCGGTATTTAGTTTTTAGCTTTTTTAAATAGTGTTAATTATAATAGGATATTAACAAAGGTTAAAAAATTATTACAAAGATTTCTTAACTTTAATAAAATTATTAATAATATAACAAAAATAAATATTAAGATTATTATAACAATGTTTCACTTATTTTTAAGTATTATTTGGATTTCTTGAAGACTCTTTTTTTTGGTCTCTACAATACCGAAATAAATTATTATTGGTGCTATTAACATTGAAACAGTACATATAAACAGAATACGTGTATATCCGATAAAAGCTGATATTTCTTGAAAATAATTCGTGACAACAAATACGGAAACCTGATTAAAACTGACAATATATACGGCTGCTACCATTTTAAGTCTACTAGGAAATAATTCACCAAGTAATATCTGCGGAACAGGTGCTAGTCCAATATAAAAAAATATTAAAAACATTACAACGAACAAAATTGTTAAAGGAGGAACTGGATCTATTTCTAAACGGCTGTCTCGGAGAGCTGCAAATACAGCAATAGGTACAAAAAATATTCCAATGCATAATGTGGAGATAATTAGGCATGCCTTTCTTCCTATTCTGTCGATAAGTAGTAAACAAATAAAACTACCCAGTAATTCTATTCCAGCTAAAAAGAAAAAAAACGTTAAAAATTTAAAATAAAAGAGTATTAGGGTAGAAACTTTAATACTTTAACCAACTATTTAGGTCAAGTTAACAAAACCTAGAACGTATTTTAGTAATACTTAAGTGTGTACCAAATAATACTACTCCTTTAATTAAAAATAACAAGTGCGGCGTAATAAATATAAAGTCGGTTACTTTTTTTTAGGAGGATTTCTTAAGTATTTCTTCTGGCTACAATGGTCAGATTTGCTTCTGCATGGATTCCCATTTCATCTTAAATATGACAGTAATTTAAAAGTTATTATGCACTCTAGCAGGATCCTTTATTCTAATTGACAAGACATATTAATATTAAGTGTGGTATCTGAACGGCACGAAAGAACACGTTGGAGATTAGGAAGCTCTTCAGCATTACAATTTTCCACTACGTCTCGCTTCAAGAAAATAGTTTATCAAGTTAAAAAGTCTCTATGTAGAATTAATTTATTTTATTTAATAACCATATTTTCAGATAAATATGTAAGCTCAAAAGTAAGATATAAGCACATATATAAATATATATATATATATATATATATATATATATATATATATATATATATATATTATATAATATATATATATATATATATATATATATATATATAAATTAATATTAAATAAATTAAATTTATTTTCTTCATTTATTCTATATAAAGTTTTTCAATTTTTTTTAAGAAACAGTTATGTAGCATATCTCTATAAATAGTATATGTTTGTATACAGAAGAGCTCCGTTTTATATCCACCGAAGTTATTGGTGCATAATTAAAATAAATTAAAACTTTAGCCACTATATTTAGTGTTTTATCAAGCAGCTTACTTAAAACATTTGCAACCTTAGATAGAAATATAAAACCAGAATTTCTATAAATGCCCGAAATAATTTTTTATTGCCTTCGTCAATGTGATTCTGAACAATTTTACAAGATAATTTCAATTTTTTATCAGTTTAAATGGTTCAATTTAAGATAAACTTGTATCTTGCAGCTGAACGATAGACCTTGCACAACATCATAGTTTGATTTATTTGAAAGTTGTTATTGTAAATTCATTTTAGAATATTTCTTTGGCAGGTGTGTTTGGAAAGACTCCTCAGCTAATTTTATTATCAATGGTCTTAATTGTACAAAATTTTCTGCATAAAACATTGCAGCCTCTAATCAAGTTCTCCATAGAGTAAAAATAGTTTTTGGTAATAAAGCAAGATTTAGGGAATGCTTTCTATTAATTCTGATAGGTGCATTAAAAAATACTTTTTTCATATTTGATATTAAATTGTCAACAAGAGCAAATTTATTTCTAATTTCTTCTGCTACCCTACTTAAACCATGTGTAAATCAAGTTGTATGAACTAAACTTGGATATTTTATTTTAATTGTTTTCTACTTTAACCATGTAACTTGCAGCGTCTGAAAGAAAGAGCAAAAATTGTCTTGCAAAAATCTTAAAATTATTAATCCGTTGGGTTTAACCAAATGCTTGGAAGAAATTAAATGCGATTTATAAGCTTGCTTATTTTTAGGGGCATAGGTTAAGAAATGTGAGATGCCATGGGCTAAAGAATCATTTGTTTCATCTACACATATATAAAAATAATTGTCTTAAATAAAACAACTGACGTTAGGGTATACCGTGGATCAGAATGTGAATCCGACAATCGTTTAGTTATGGCCAACGTGATAGTTAACTATCGCAAAAACAATAACACTCAGGTACAAAATATAGAAAAGGGACAAAAAGTAACATCTTCTAAATATAACCTAGAAAACTTAAAAGAAGATTCAACGAAATTTCTTTCATGTGCAGAGCTAGATAGGTATTTGGGTGGAAATACTGGATATCGGTGACTGTCGATATAAGCAAACAACAAAGTTTTGCCGGGATGTTATAGAAACACTCTTTTGATTTTTAGTCTAGCTTTCCGAATTATTTTATTTCTTTTTCAAGACACTGTAAGTAGAAGAATGTGTAAATATTTACACTATATCAAAAATTGTCAGTGCAACTTACTAGTCGTTGAGATTATTTATATAAAGCTATGACACTTCACATCAATAACACACATATAAAATATAACATATAAAATAATGAACAAAATACATTTTAAAATTTAGTTAAAAGTAAAAAAGATAGTAAAATTTCGTTTGTGACATCCTTTAATGGTGTGGACTGATCCATAGAGAACAGAAAGGAAAAGATCAAAAATATTATGATTAAAAAGTGTTTCAAACAAATCGTTGGCACTCCAATGGGCAGCAAAATATCTTCATACTATGTAATTTTGTTTTGGATGAATTTATAAAAACGTGTAAAGAAAAGATACCTTTTCACCTACCTTTTATCAAACGATATGTAAATGATTTGATTTTGTCGGTCCCGGAAAACAAAATTACTGATGTTTTAAACATCTTTAATGCACAGTGTGAACACTTAAAGTTTAGGGTTGAGAAAAAGGCTAATAATATGATTGCGTTTTTAGACATGCTTATACATCGTGGCAGTGATGTCATGCTAAAGACAGAGTGGTATCGTAAAACTTGTCTTAGTAATCGTTTCATAAACTTTTATTTTTAACATCCATCTAAGATGACAACAAATTTGGTTTTGGCCCTCAAAACTAGGGTTATCAACTTATCAAACATCGAGTACAGAGACAAGGGACTAAAAAAGTTGAGATATATACTACAAAAGAACTCCTATTCCATAGTGCTTTTAAATAAACTCATTTTTGGTTCTCCTTTTCCTTTGCAATTTTCTGACAACCAAAATTTTCATAATAATGAGGTCCGACAACTGACACCGACATTGATACAGAACACATCAGAGCTAATACAATCTAAAATAACGTATGGTTTCCTACCCTATATTCAAGTTCTGACACCTAAGTTAATGAACATTTTCAAAAATGTTAGTGGCTTAAAAATTGCAACTAAGAATGTGAAAACGGTATCGAAGTTGTACACAAAGACAAAGGATCCTTTCACAATACAGGAGTCATCGAATGTTGTTTATTCTATACCGTGTGCAAGTGAATCATCTCGTAATTTTCACAGTAGGGTGATCTCACATCGCAGCGACATAAAAACCAAAAAAATTAAAACATGTGCGCTTACAGAACATGCATTAACGTTAAAACATGAATTTAATTTCGAGGATTCCTGTATTTTGGCAAAGCAAAAAAACCATTCAAAACGTGTTTTCTTGAAAATGTCTTTCATAAAATCCAATACGTCTTGCATAAATAAAAAATCTGACATAGATAAACTGAGCAACATTTATTGTTACTTACTAACAAAACATCAAAAATGAAATAAAGACTTACTTTTACATATACACACCATGTTGCATACCATCAAGAAAGGTTTAATACATTACTTTCATTATTAAAACATTAACAACACCTAATTACTTTTTAATCATAATATTTTTGGTTTTTTTCTTTCTGTTCTCTATGGATCAGTAGTTAAAATACACCATTAAAATAGGTCATAAACGAAATTTTACTATCCTTTTTTACTTTTAACTAAATTGTAAAATGTATTTTGTCCATTATTTTATGTTATATTTTATATGTGTGTTATTGATGTTGAGTGTCATAGCTTTATATAAATAATCTCAACGACTTGTAAGTTGCACTGACAATTTGTGATATATTGTAAATATTTACAAATTCTTTTAATTACAGTGTCTTCAAAAAGGAATAAAAAAATTCCGAAAGCTAGACCAAAAGCCAAAAAAATATTTCTATAATATCCTGGCCAAACTTCTGACTGCAGCCCTAATCAACTTTGTTGTAGGACCTGTTGATAACAACTGACCTGTTAATAACAACGAGTGTGTGTGTGTGTATGTGTGTGTGTGTGTGTGTGTGTGTGTGTGTGTGTGTGTGTGTGTGTGTGTGTGTGTTTTGTGTGTGTGTGTGTGTGTGTGTGTGTGTGTGTGTGTGTGTGTGTGTGTGTGTGTGGAGTAATTGTCTTGATACTTGGCAAAGTCGACGTCATTGTCTTTGTTAAGAGACGCTAATTGTATCCGAACGTCAGCGGTCCCTCCGGTGAGTACCGATTTCACAAGGATAGAAATTATTTTTATTTATTAATTTTTTATAAACGAAAATTTCCACCCAGGTGAGATTCGAACTCACGCTCTTTAAGTTCAAAGGTAGGCGCTTTTACCACTGAGCCACAGAGGGAGTTGTTTTTATTTTTATCTTGTTTTATTATCAACTTTTGAATTGTATGTTGATTATATTCATGCCTTAATAATATTGTAAGATGTGCGTGCCGACTACGTAGGTTGTATTTTCACTACAAACTGAAAAGTAAAAAATATTTTTGAATTGAAATAATTTTTTTTTTGTTAGAATTTATGTTCCATAAATCAATGTAGACTAAACGATACACAACGCACAGCTTAGAAATACTCAAAAAATGCAGCTGCATAATAAAAATAAATCTGGGCTTATTCGTTTTCATCAACAATTTTATGTGTTGCAATAAATTTATGACATCTTTTTTGGATCAAACTTCTGCAACTTACCCAATAGTATAATAATCAACTGTCAATTAAAGAATAAAATCGGAAACGACTTTTTTGATTTAAATTTAATTAAATTTAGATTTGATCAATCTAAATTTGATTTAATTAAATCTGATTAGACAATCAGATTTAAATTTCTATATAACTTTTAAGCATACCTATTAAGTTATATTACTAATAAAAAAAATTAAAGTGTTCTATGTGTTGTTTATTGACCTTTAGACCTTTAAACCAATACCATTGATAAAATTGGGCCAGCATGTGTGCTAAATTTTTTGCCTGTGGCCTAATGTATTCGCCTAACAGAAAAGTACTGTTTAATTTGGTAAAAAACTAAACTTTATATCTATAACATACAAAGACACGAATAGTCATCTTTTAGAAAAGATTTTCTGTACATTTATTAATTGTGGATGCGTTACAAACTCATTAATTGATTTAAATAAATAATGCCAAAAAAAATGGTACTAACCTGAAGAAAGTAATACGGTCGCATACGTGATTGCCACATATTTGTATCCTAAGTAGGTAGCAATGTAATGCAATAACATAGGTATCATGCCAACACCCGATAAATGGTGCAGAATTAGGAGAAATGACATCATGAAGAACGATTTCATCCAGCCGGTGGAACCCAGGAAAGACAATATTTTTATGTTCTGTATATAAATTAACTCTGTACCGCTATTTCCTTCTTTAAGTTTGGTTGGATCTATCCTATCCTCCGATATTTGAATCTTCTGTTTTCGTAGGTAATAATATGGAGATTCAATGCCAATAAAAACAAACAGTATACAGAAGACAATAGATAAAACTATGGTTACGATATTGTAAACAAGATATGTAGAATATACTGCAATGGAATTGTAAACCAGTACTCCAATTACTGAGCTTATTGTCATCATTGATCCCAGTACACCTCTTGAAGATGGTTTTGCAACTTCGGCTATATAAATAGGTAATACTACATTGCTACCACCTACAGCAATTCCAGCTATTACTCTACCTATGCAGGCAACATGTATTGATTTTGCAAACTGAAATACAGTAAAAGCAATTGCATATGGCATGGCGATAGATAACAAAGTTAATTTCCTTCCTATTAATTCTGCGGCTATACTAAATATTATTGTACCTGCAACAATTCCTGCTGGGAGTAAAGCATTCAGAATATTAACATAATATACATCAAGAAATGTAATTTTTTCTAGCATTTGGATTCCTACTACAATCCAAAGAGTAGCTGCAGAAGATAAGATCATCAGAATGCATCCTGAAATAAATAAAAAAAAATAAGTCATTACACTCATTAAACAACTGAACATATATTTAGTATGTTTCAAAAATATCCCGGTTTTAAATTTTTATGCCAACTTAAATGATATTTAAGTCTTATATATTTTTATTCGTTTTTAAAAAAACAACGAACAAATTAAGCTTTTTTTTCTATAAAATTATCAGATCAAAATCGTATTCAGAATCTCTCTTTTTTTATTTAAACGAAGTAGAACTACTATTACGCTCCTTTCACACACTAAGAATGTGAACGTTCAGTGGTTTTGACGTTCGGTAGTTTTGACGCACGTTCAGAATTTATTGTGCTTTCGCACAAGGCGTCACCGCTGTAATGTTTGTCACATTATTTGAAGATTTAGGAAAAGATAAATTAAAATTCTTCAAATATTTTCGTATGTCAATTTCATCATTTGACGAATTACCTGGTCGACTAAAAGAAGTCATTCAGCGTTAAAATACAAAAATGAGAAACTGTATTCAACCAGTGGAAATGTTAGCTGTTACTGTAAGATAAATGTTAGATGTTTTAAAATAAGTTGATTGTAATTCGTGGTGTTTCAATGGTTTCAATGTGAAAATGAAACAGTTATATTGAAAAATCAACACTATATGGAGACTAAGGCGTTGACATCGCTTACCTTGTTGGTTCAGCTTCAGATCCAAAACACTGTGAACGTGCATGATAATTGTTATCTGAAGCTAAAGAAGTGCGTGAATCTTGCTGAGAGGATATCAAGCAATGAGCGAGGGGTACACGTTGTGAGGAAGTGTTCGTAAGGGGCTGGTTCGTTGTAAGTATGCTAGATGGTACTGGAGAAAATGGGGAAAATTGTTGTAAGTTTCTGTGTTGATTTTACGATTGAGGTATAGTATTTGTTGAAATATTGTTGGGTTTGATGGATACATTGGATTGTAGAGGATGGCTAGTGGCCCTTTTTGGTCATTTATATTTATTATGGTTTGAAGAACCGCCATCTGGAACTCAAGTATTTCTTCCACACTAAACTTGCTCAAATAGAGTGGCAAACTTTAAAAAATGCCATGTTAGGGTTAGGTTTTTTAGGGGGTTTCGGCTCCAACGCTTTTAAAATTTTTAACTCCACTTCATCTACTTGTTTGCGCTGCCTGATTGCCATCGGTTTTTTAAAAATTGAAACGTTAGCTTCACTTTCAATATTTTGTTAGTTCAACTTGTTCAATTTCAACACCTCGTCCATTGTCATCGCCTGTGAAACTGTCCGAAGTCTCTCTTTCCATATACAGGTTCTTTAAAAATAGTAATGAATCGTAGTATATATATGTTCGTTTTTTCTTTGCTAAAGAACCGCTTGACTTACTTTCCTTTGTATATTTTAACGATTTAGCAAAGGAATTTCTAATGGGAGTCCATCGACGAATTACTTCTTTACCCCAAAAAAAAAGGTGTACACTTGAACTATGTATAATATTACAATTAGAAAAGAGTAAACAATTTTTTTCATAATCAAGTTGGTCATACATATAAAGAGAAATGATTCGAGGTAGTAAAGGATCAACATAACAAACTACTCTACTTTCCTTGTTCATTTTTGATTGATGAAAATTAATTTCATAAATTAGTTTTGGCATTTTAAAATTAGATGCACTACACACATCATTCCAAGCATTTCTCGTTAAGTTATATTTCTATTTTTTTGTCCCAAAGAACAGGTCTCGCTACAACCAATGTTATTATTATTTCACTATCAATTTCAAACATCATATTCATCATCTACTTTAAACAGCCTCAAAGTGTAAATGAAAAATATACCAAACTACCCAGCAAGGTACCTTCGTGCGATTGAATGACCGTATCGTATCATGTAAAAGGAAGCATTAAGACACGTATACTACTAGGTTCGTAAACACGGCACGGCGCCGTCTGTTTGTAGTGGCACCGAACGACTCAACCTGTCACCTCGGGGTAAATGGAAAGAGTCTAAACGCCTCCTAATGCCTCCGGGTGCTTTGTAGAGGGCTTCGAAACATCAACGATAGCTCCTCTACTTAAGTCCATTTACAGGTTATGGACTTGTGAAAGTTGTCTTCTGATGGACCCGTCTTGAAAAAGACGGGTTATTTCTTACATGACGAAAATATTCGACGAAATAAACCATCAGGTTGTAGTCTTCGGTGGCTTGCCTTGACAATGGCAAGATATTTCTTACACGACTAAATGGTCGAAATAAAACACCAAGTTTTCAGTTGAATAATAATACTCAGCCACAGAGTATGGAAAGCTAAAAGGAAGCAGAGCCTCGAGAGCACTAAGCTTTCGGAGAGACCGTGAAGGACTGATTTCTTTGGCCTGTCTGTATTCGTTATTACTCTCTCTGTATGAGAGAGCCCCTGTTTTAGGCTCCTTGCCTCTTCAGGGAATGGGGTTGTTTTGGTTTTTGGGGTTGTTTATTCTTTGGCCTGAAAATCGCCTATTTTTATACTTTCTGAAGCAGCGATTAGGGATTTCCAGGTCAGGGAGGGGCCAACGGGAAAAATAAGAGGCGGGGCGATGCGTCTCGAACGTGAACTAGTCGCCGAGAACATCCCCCTCCTCTGGAGACTCTGTGTCCGGGAAAAAATTTATTGAATACCAAAATTTTACCAAGTGTACAATGATAAGAAAAATACATAAAAATGCATGAAATATACAGATAATACATGAAAATGTAAATAAAGTAAAAAATTGTCTTTGAAAAAACTCACAACACAGCACTAATAGGGAGGTCGGTGGTATTGACGGCATCTCCGGTTCCTACAGGTCCATCCTCGATCGGTGTGCCAACTCCTTCGACGGAGTTCGTCTTCTTCTTGGTCGTCCGGATCCCATCCGCCATATCCAGGGGTTTCGTAGAGTTCCAGGGTGCCGAAGCCTACGTGGTCGTCCAACCACTTTCGGTAGGGGGGCGATGACTGGGTCTACTTCTGGAGTTTCATTGGCGTCAGGGGCTTCTATCTCCGAAGAAGTTTGGATCGTCAAAGGTGCCTGACGTTGAAGGCATCCGGTCTGCAGAAGGCCTCGATGTCGGAGTGTTAGAGTATAGCTTTCTAACACTCCGTGGTTCTCCCCATTCTTCTCTTGACTTCAACCCATGTTGAAGTCAATGGTTGTAGCCTTCTGCTGCGAGTCGGGCTGGGTCGTGGGTGCGGATTTTAACCACGTTGTCGGGCGCCATGTCACCTTGGGGTAAATTGAAAGGGTGTAAACGCCTTCTAATGCCTACGGGTGCTCTGTAGAGGGCTTCGAAACATCAACGATAGCTCCTCTACTTAAGTCCATTTACAGGTTATGGACTTGTGAAAGTTGTCTCATGATGGACCCGTCTTGAAAAAGACGGGTTATTTCTTACATGACGAAAATATTCGACGAAATGAACCACAAGGTTGTAGTCTTCGGTGGCTTGCCTTGACAAAGGCAAGATATTTCTTACACGACTAAATAGTCGAAATAAAACACCAAGTTTTCAGTTGAATAATAATACTCAGCCACAGAGTATGGAAAGCTAAAAAGGAAGCAGAGCCTCGAGAGCACTAAGCTCTCGGAGAACCCGTGAAGGACTGACTTCTTTGACCTAAAAATCACCTATTTTTATACTTTCTGAAGTAGCGATTAGGGGTTTCCAGGTCAGGGAGTAATTGCGTTAAATCAGAATTAAGCAGTTGATTTGTAAAATGCAATTATCTCGAAAACTGATGAGTTTTGAAGTTATTAACAGGTATACCTTTGTTTTGTTAAAATAATGTTTCTTTAATATTGTTTAACAAAAATACCGGTAATTAAAAGAACAAAAAATTTAAGTGCAAATGTATGCCACGTATGTGGCATATGTAGCACCCTCCATTAGCTATATAAAAAGATGCATCAAATTATAATTCCTGATATTGAATAGTACATAGTTTTAAATTTTTATACATAAATGTTTACAAACATAAAGGTTATAGCGAAAAATAAAATTTTAAATTTACAGTTTAACACCCTGTATCTTTTTAATATCAACATTTTATTAAAGCAGGTTAGCTTAAATCGTAATATTTTAAAGTGTCGAATCTGCGGTTTCTTTTTGTACAATTACTTAAGGACCACCCTGTGTCAGAATAAATTGGATCAAGGTTTTTATGTTATATAGAATTAGAAGAGAGAAATATAAAGCAGAAGATATGAACACAGAATGACAGAGTCAAAAAGTCAATATCAAGTCAACATAAGATCAAAAAGTCAATATAAGAAAGTACAAATTATGCAGGTAGGTAAAAGTCAGGATAAAACAAACAAAAAACGATTGATATAACCAAGAATGTAGAGAATGTACAGAAGAAACAAAAAAAAAGTGCAGGCCAGAATTAAATAGCTAAGAACAGGTAAAGAATATGACAGAGAAAAATATGGAAAATTAAGAAAGAATGCTAAGAAAGTGATAGGGCAAAATTAAAGAAGACGGGTAGATGAAGAAATTCAGGACAGGAAGGAATAAAGAGAAATGCGAAAAAATTTTACAAAAAGATTAATGAACAAAATACAAACGCAAAACAAATGAAATAAAAGAAGAGAGGGCATAATGATATTAGATGATTAAGAATACAAGCAAGTATGAAGGGATTACTACAGAGAGCTCTTGGTGAAGCAAACAACAGGAAAAGAAATGCATAACAAGGAGTAAACGGAAGAATGTACAAAGAAGCAGACAAAGTAGATGGAGTAAACATCGAAATTTCAAAAGAACTAACATTAGAGGAATTGGATGAAGCAATACAGAGAAGCAAAAATGGGAAAGCCCCTGGTTAAGATGAAATAAACATGGAAT